CCACATTATTGCATTCAGTTTTTATTCACGATTTGTACAGTGACCCAACTTTTTTGGAATCTGGTTTGTAGATTATTAGAAGCTAACTGTTAGCATTAGTAACTCCACCACACAGCAGAACTCCCTCCGGCTTGTGTTATTTGTGGAGATAAAACATCAACGTTACAAATGAAGTTAGTGGTAGAGTCACTGTTGTCCAATCTGAGGCGAGATGTTCAAATATCAGGAAATAAAACTCCAAATCCCACCGTGCTAGGCTCTCCTCTGATGTGGCATTCTGCTATTTCCTGAAACAAGCTCCTCTGAGGTGTGACTTAATTTAAAGTATATTTTATGAGATAACAAACTGAAGAATTAGCAACAGTCAAATATGTCTGATTACCTATCCAGGTCCTGCAGAAAAACAAAGTACTAGTGATTCATGATCATTTTTATGTCATTAAATAAATAGTCCATGAACCACTGAAGGTGTTGACAACATGTTGCATCTTTGTCCTGAATCAACAGTCAGACGAGACGCTTTAAACAACATCAGAGGTTGTTTTTAGTAGATAAAATCATGGCTGTGTCACAGACTTTCAGAGAAACGTTGCTACATGATTATGTTTTTACCGGCAGTGTAAAGTACTTTTACAAAAGATGTTTGTTTTTACTTTTTATTCTGTACAGCACTTTGGTCGGCTGCCATGCTGTTTTTAAATGTGCTTTATAAATAAAGATGGTATGGTATGGTATGGTTTATTGAGAAAAAGAAGAGATAACGGTGTCGCCCAACCTTCAGATAAAGACCTAAAACTGTCCCAAACTGGCCTGAGTTACTGAAGCAATCCATTTGTGCTGTTTTGGGGTTATCTCAGTCCAGTCCCCAGGACACAGGAATTTTTAATAAATGCTGTGAGGATTTGTGTGGGTAGCAGAAAGGCCAAGTAGGGATCAGCTCCTGACTCTTTAGCTGTTCAACAGCCTGAACTTTTCATCATCAGGGGCTTCAAATGCTCTTAAAAACCATGTGTGTGTAACATCATTTCATTAGTTTTTTTTGTCTATAGTCCAATAATCATAATATCTAAAGTCACTGAGTAAAAAGCAGGAACTATCTGAATGCCTTTCTGTTTGAATTTGGATTAGGGTTCTAATAGACCTGGAAATTGTGTCGGATCAACTTCTGTGTATTCACAAGAACCGGATCAGCTAATGGCTGTTGTGTCAGAGGTCAATCCAGATTATTGTGTTGGTTTCTGGACATGAAGAGGAAGAACACAACTAGTTCAACATTTCTGCATCACACAGGTTAAAGAAACAGGTGATATTCATCAAAACAGTTTAGCCTGAAGCAGGAGTTTATGTAGGTCTATAAATGTCAACTAAACTTTCTTCCTCAAGCTAATGGTCCAAAAGCAGAACTCAGCTTGTGATGGGAATCTGTGCTTTTATGATGATCTGATTCATTTCTGAACCCTCCCACTGTATTTATGGGTGACACCGCGAGGAAAGTTGACCATTGAGCAGGATTGATGGTTTATCCCTTGAGGTCTATGTGGCAGGGGTGAGGTGGTGCTCACTCCTCACATGGACCCAAGGGATAAACCATCAACCCTGCTCAATGGTCAACTTTCTTCGCGGGGTCACACCCATTAGGACAGTCGGAGGGCTAAACACTGAGTTAACAGACCAGCCTGCTTGTGTTATTAGTGCCATTCCCTTGCAAGCGGTTTGAACGAATAAACCACCAGAGCTACAGTGTCCTATTGTCAACATTACTCAGGTTTGATTTATTCACAAAGTCACCAGGAACCTTTTCAGAGGGGCTGAAGGGCCCTTTGTAGCCACAGACCTTCAGGTTATCGATCCTGTGAATGCACCACCAACAGGACAGATGGTTTCCTGGTTGAACGTTACATAAACAAGACGAGAAATGTTAATAATCTCTTCTGTGTTATTGATCGTAAGGTACTATTTTTTATTTAAATCATTAAAAATGTCATGACCTGTTCTGTTTAGTTTTACTATTATGATGATTGTGTGTAAAAGAAGGTCTCCTAGCTTTGATGCTAACACTGACAATGGATGTGTTGATGGCTCTAGAGTGAGATGGGTGTTGAGACTGAGCTGGTCCCAGAAAACAACTCGGATCTTCGTCGCTCCTTCCTGCTCAACATCCACCTGAAGGAAGGACGCAACCTGGTCATCAGGGACCGCTGTGGTGAGAGACTAGCATCAATGCTGCTAAAACACTAACTCAAAACACACGCTGCCACGACTCACTAACTCTCCCCTTTTATTAGCCCTGCTGCCTGCTTGTATATAACAGACCTGACACATGAGACTGAACAATAGAAAGAGCACTTAAGAGCAGGTCTCTTTGACTACGTTTACATGCAGCCAATATCCGGGTTATGATCGGGTTAAGGACGGGATTCGGGTTTCTGAGTTGATCAGAATAACCCGTTTACAAGCATAAATAGAAAGAGCTACCTCTAACTTGCATAACCCGATTTAAATGCGGACGTTGGGGTAGTGTCAGGATGTGTGGACTACGTCCAGACGCAATATGCGTCATCTCCGGTTCTTCTCGTTCGGTATCCGTGAAAACAACAACATGTTTCCCAGCTCGGAAGAGATAGCGACCGCGTTTGTTTGCGCTTTAGTTTCCTCGTCACTCCAAAAGTTTGGTGCTGTGCCGCGACTCGCCATGTTGCTCCCAACTTGTTGTTTACTTCCGGTGTTCTGGCGCATACAAGACGTCTCGCTACTCAAAAGACCAAGATTCCTTGCGAACAGAGCATGCGCAGAACGCACGCTTTGATGGGGATATCCCGATATGCGTTTACACGACCCAACATTCGGGTTAGAAAAGGGTTACCCCAGGTGTAGTAACCGGGTTTTTAAAAACCCGGTTATGAGCATATCCGGGTTTTTGGCGGTGTTTACATGGACCTGCGGAACCGGGTTATTTTGAATATTCGGGTTTTAAAAGGGTTACTGGCTGTATGTAAACGCACTCTTTGTGTGGACAGCTGCAGAATCATTCCCCATAAATATGCTTAAAGATACAGAGTTGAACTCTGGACATGAGTCATACCAGCAGCCAAACTGGCATGTGGTGGTGGAGTAATGTGGTTTTATTTTTCACAAGTACACATGAATTGTTCTTTATTGTTTGTTATTCAGCTTTTAGTGAGGATAGGATCAGATATTTTGCCCAATTGTTCCCCTAAATCTACCAAATAATCCCTGAAGATGATGCTTTACTGCAGAAGTGGTGTGTGTTCTGCTGGAACTCACCTGGATGTGTTTATTATACCCTGAAAGTCAGACTAACTGGTTGCAGGCCAGAGGTCAAGAATTGATCAGCTGGTGTGACTTTGATTTCCTGAGTGTGTGCGCACTTCTACCCCTACGGTCATTAAGGACAGTCTGCGGATCAGGTGTTGTTGTATGTTTGTTATTCTCATTTATTGTCATGTAACTGTTGGTTTAAGTTATAGTTAGGCAACATTAACGATAACATTTACGTCTAATACAGATAAAACATATAAATAAGGTTATTTGTCATTTGTTATCTGTTTTATTGCTTATATTGCTTTTCACTTTTTATTGATTTAATTTAGAGGATCCTATTTTGTTCCTAACCCTATAAATACAATGATTTATTATTAATTATTGATTATATAGAACCTATCACAGACAGAAAAAACACAAAGTGCTTCACTAAAGTATTAGAAAAAGATGTGCGTACGTTGCCGATGTTCATGACGCTGTGCTATGAACTGGATGGAGTGACTCCACCTCATGGTCTGTAACAAGAGGGGAATGGAGGATGTTTCAAAGGTTGAAGCAGTGGGCGGGGCCAGCGGGTAGCAGCTAGCAGAAGCTGGCGGCAGCGACCAAATTCCAAATGTTGCCAAATGGTGGTTGAAGCAATTTTGTGGGAACAGAACAAATCTACCATCGACCAAATTTACCATCGCTCCTGCCGCTGTACGGGTAGTTATCATCCATTTATGTTGTCATCGAGGGAAACTGCTCAGTAAATCGTGATATTGATTTGAGGCCTTGTCGCCCGGCTCTAGTTTGAGTAGGTTATAGGAATGCACCCATTCTGTTTTAGAAAGTCGTGTACCTAACCTACCAGTTTCAGTTTGTCTCATCTCTAGACCACAAAGGACTGATACAACTCACAGATGGACACCGTTGTCGTACCATGCGTTCAAGCTCCATGTCCTAGTAAAGTTAGGATATCTAGTCCAATGGACTCATAAAAACATTTATTTATATGTATTAATAAATATAATAATGCATGTCTAAGTTGAGTTAATATCACCACAAAGATGAAAGAAACAAACAGTAAAATGTGTTTATCTTTGAACATATTAAGTTTTAAACGCCTAAAACAGATGTGTGTCATCTTTGGGAGTCAAACGATGGAACAGTCATAGTGATGAGTTGAAATTGTGTGGATCATGGTTTTATTTATTAAAAATACTGAAGGAGAACATAATTACAAACTATAAAGTAACAAAGTGATATGAATGAACATTAATAACCTTGACTAAATATGTACATGGAAACAGGGGAACTTCCAGGACTATAAACTAATGTGAAGTTGGGGGACATTCAAGTATCTGCAGAGTGAGAATTATCGTTGAAAAGAATCTGCAAGCTGATTGTTTTTTGCTTCCTGTCGTCCCCCCCGAGGATGAAAAAACCCACATCCTCCTCAGCATTTAGAGACGATTGTGTGAGTGGGTCAGGCCTCTCTGACTGGAAACCACTGGGTCTCCTTTCATGTTCAGCAGCAGCTAAAAGGTTGGGTAGAAAACAAGTTCGGAAAAAGGAAAAGGCTCATTTAGAATCTAGATTTAGATCTAAGTGGGTCCGGTTGTCGGGTTAGAGCAGACTTATGATCCTGCTGCAAGTTAGGAACCAAAACAATGGGCTTTCATAAGTTACTGCTTTATTTACTTCAGTTTATTATATGCATTTGCAGAATGTTCCGTTATGAATAATAATATAATGGCAGGTTGCATGCTCACACGAGACATTTTCCGTCATTTTGACAAAACCAAATAATAAATTAAACATGTAATGTATTATTTGTTTTCGGGGCAGCAGTAGCTCAGGTGGTAGAGCGGGTTGCCTCATGATCGGAGGGTCATGGGTTCGATTCCAGCTCCCGCCAGGGTATCCTGCTGTTGTGTCCTTGGGCAAGACACTTCACCCAACTTGCCTGTGTTAGTGGTGGTCAGAGGGGCCGGCGGCGCCAAATGGCAGCCTCGCCTCTGTCAGACCTCCCCAGGGCGGCTGTGGCTACAAGTAGCTTACCATCACTAGCAGTGTGTGAATGTGAGAGTGTGTGAAAGCGTCTTTGGGTGACTTGAAAAGTGCTATATAAGTTCAATGCATTATTATTATTATTATTATTATTATTATTATTATTATTATTATTATTTGTGTCTTATGTGTGTGAACCTATGGCGTTAACAGGCACCAGCGACCCTTATGTGAAGTTCAAGATGGAAGGAAAAACCATCTACAAGAGCAAAGTGGTTTATAAAAACCTGAACCCTGTGTGGAGCGAGTCCTTCTCTTTGCCTGTGAAGGATCTGAATCAGAGTCTTTATATCAAGGTGAGTCACCAGGTCAGGTGGAGCCTTTTACTGCCTTCTGTTTTTAAAGCTGCAGTGGCAAATCTACAAAATAAACTAGTTTTTAAACTCTCTCCTCCTGCCGGTTATTATCCCTGGGCCACGTCCAGGGGTTGACTGGGACCAAAATTTGGCCCTGGCATTTTTATGAACCGTCGGCCCTCGGCAGGGGAGGTTGCTGCTCGCGACTCGTCTATCCCGCCAAATGTGGGGGAGGGATGGGGTGTTGTGTGTGCTGCTCGCGGACTTGTCTCTATAACCGCATGTGAGACGGGGACTTGGTTTGGGAAGGCCCAAGCTGGGCAAGTGGCCCACTTGGCTGAGCGGCCCACCGGGACAGGGCCAGAATGCCAGATAGGCCAGTCCACCCCTGGCCTTGTCCGCTTCATACCTGAACCCACATTGCCAGAGTAATCAAAAGAGCGCTAAACACCAGTTGCTGTTCCAAACATATTTTGTTGTCGGTGACTTCAAATGGTGTTTTCCTTTTTGGGACTGGTAGTTTGTCCTAAAGTTGAAGTGGTAGCAGCCGGCTGTTTCACTTTCTCTGATTGCTGAGTGGAGAACCTCTCACACCAGTGGTGTTCTGGTGCTAAATACGTGAGTGTGTAATGAGTGGAGGACCCTGGGAAACAGACAGCCAGATGGTGCAGACCTTGGTTCCAGACCGAGCCGCGTTATTGGCTGAGGTTTTTAGACAAATGCGAGAGAACCACTTTGTTAATTTCTTCCGTTTAGTTTTTAAACTCCACAATATATTTATAGCTATACTATGTTAGAACATTGCTAAGAGGCATGGAAAAATATTTAAAGCTAGCTTGTTTTGCAGATTTTCTATTGTAGCTGTAAAGGAGACTTACTATGCTAAAGTCACCTTTTGTGATGTTTTGCGGGTCTCTGCAGCATTTATAAGCCTGAATAATACGATACGATCCAACTGTTGTCTGTCATATTTTGGCGTCACAAATAGAGCTGGTGAGATTGCTTTATGTGATAGAGAATATGTGCCAAAAACTGCGTTAACCTGTTTTGTTTAGACCAATGGTTCCCAATCTGGGGTGTATGCCCCACCAAGGAGGTCCCTACAAATTATTATTAAAAAAAATTATATCTATATAACCCTAATAACACTCCCAGTTGTTTAATCAAAATGAGAATGAGTTACAACTCTATATGTCTGTATAGATTGTAATTGATCAATTTTAATGCATTAATGTGAGTAGGAGTGTGTGTGTGTGTGTGTGTGTGGGGGGGGGGGGGGGGGTCCTCAAGGAAAAAAGGTTGGGAGTCACTGGTTTAGACCCCAACTCCTACATGCATGCACACATTTACTGTGTGCATGCATGCAGGAGTTGTATCATTTACTAACTTTATACTGGCACACAGAGTTATAACTTTGATTCTACTGCAGGGTGTGTTATTGGGATTTTATAAATGTCATTTTTACAAATAAAACCTTAACCTCACAACCTCTGCACAGACAAAATTGTGGGGAGTCCCTTGGGGGTGTCGGACCTCAGTTTGGGAACCACTGGTTTTGACCATAGGACTATTATAACTTGTTTAGAGATGGCATACTGGTTAAGGTCTGCTATATATCAATAATTTTGTTATACAGATGTGTTTGTGAGAGGTCCACAGGGAATCGTAGCCTTTCCCTTGGGATGATTTTTAAGGACATTGGCTGTATGTAGCATGAGTGGGTCGTGGTGATAGATTCCCCCTGTGGCTGTGTTTGTATGAACGCTGTACTGTCTGATGTCCCGCAGGTATACGACCGTGATCTCACAACTGATGACTTTATGGGTTTTGCCTGCGTCCAGCTGAATGAGTTGGTTGTTGACAGGTGAGTCCATCCATAAACTGTGAGTGCAGATTGGTTTTGGGGGCAAATGAGGCTCTGAAAACTGAATCAGCACTCATGGTAAATAAAGGGCCTGCATTTGATATAGTGACTTCTAGGGTTTTACAGCCCCCCAAGGCACTTTAAAACACATTCTGTCATCCACCCACTCACACACACGTTCACACGCTGGAGGTGATGAGCTAAAACACAGCCATAGCTGCCCTGGGACACACTGACAGAGGCGAGGCATGCCCCAGTTCCTCTGACCACCACCAGCAGGCAACATGGGTTAAGTGTCCTGCCCAAGGACACAACGACTATGACAGACTGAGTGGGACTTGAACCTGCAACCTTCTGATTACTCATAATTGAGTGAGGTCTTGTGTGTTTAAAAGCTGTGCAACTCTTTGAAAAACTGAACAAACACTGCCGCCTGATGGATGTTTTGTGACTTTGTTGTTTTTAAAAAAAAATCTCAGATTTAATTGTTGTTAGTTAAAATCACCACCAGCCACTGCAGCTGTGCCCAGATGTTAAAGAATGGCATGGGTGTTGGTCTGATGTTTTTAAACATTTTGTTCCTACACCTGCTTCAGTGGTTGAATCAGCAGAGGGCTTTTACATGAACCAAGCTCAGAAAATCGAATCTCAATTTGTAAAAATGCTTAGCTTTACTAGTTTCCAGACTTATTCTGTTCCGCAAATGAACCTCAGGTGGATTCAATCCTTGCAAATTTAAACAAGGAATGAGGAGTGAGTTCGATGTGCGTCCACAGGCAGCCCCTGTAAATCGATGCTAGATATGTGAGAATGAAAGGAAGTGAAAGAGCGGTGTTCTTTTTCCAGATGGAGAAAGAATTATTAATTCAGGCCCACATACAAAAAAAGATCATAACTAAAACAGAGACCGCCAGCTGCTCGATTAGTCGTGTTGCTGGCGTCATTAAGTTAGAGAGCGCTGAGTTTCCACTGGGAGACTGTTGGTCATGTGACCCTCAAGTTTCTAATGCAGTAAAACCATTTCTAAGTCACAAATACACATTTAGTACATATGTTACTAAGAAAAGATTCATTTAATATCACGATGTTTGGCATAAAGCTGAATATTTTCAGTTTTTGTTTAAATGCATTTTGATAATTCTTCTGTAGTGATTATAACAAATTGAAAGCAGCGTTTTTATTTTCAGTTTTGACAGTGGTGTAATGTGAGGAATCAAAAAAGCTGAAAGATCAGTTGTAAGAAGCGTGATCTGTTTCTGTGTGACTTGAGAACAAGCTGTTTAAAATCTAGTCGCACACATTTCCTTTTACATATGTCTTATGTCAGCAGTTGTAAGGTGCTTTTAGGTTATTTTAATAATATGGGTTCATCCCAGACAACAGCTGTTATATAATTATACTTAATTATAATTATATTTTCATTATAATTAATAATGCTGACATCGGGAGCAACATCAGTGGAATGAAGTGGTCCTGGCAGCAAGTGAAGATTAACTACAACACAATCCTTCAAAATTAAGACGTAAATCCAGCTAGTTCTCAGTTCTGAAAGATAAAATCCACATTGCATAATTGATCCACCATGAGGCTGCATCTCCTGCAGCCAGAGGTGGAGGTGATGTACCACTTTGTTGCCTGCCAACCGCTGACATATATCACAGAAGAACGTAAAGGTGGCACACTCTTTGACATCACACGCCTTGTCCAGTCTTAATCACTAAGCCTAAATAGGTGTCTGAGCTAGCCTGCCACAGAGACAGGTTGTCCACAAGCATGTGTCGCCATGAGTGAATGAGTGGGGCTTCAGGTTAGCCTTTGTTGTGGAACTGAATTAGGGAAAATTGAGTTGGGATTGCTTTGTGGAACAGCCCTCTGTTCAGCAGGTTATCAAGCTCTGCACAAGCCCTTTAGTCACCTGCTGATACAAAGGAGGTGTGTTGGGGCAGGGAAACAACTAACACATGCCGCATCAGGGATCCTGTGGGGTAGTGTGTAGTGTATCTTTCTGAGTCCTGACAATTAATATCCACAAACTCTCCTTGTGCAGAATCCTCCTCAGCCTGCTGCTGTATGTCTGTAACATCACTTTTTTAAGTGACCCTTTAACTCATCTTGTCTCAGAGTCCATGAGAAGACATTGCAGTTGAATGATCCAAACACCCTGGAGGAGGACATGGGAGTCGTGTTGGTGGACTTGAGTCTGTCCCGCCGAAACGAAGACGGCAAGAAAGGCAGTGTATGGCAAGCCCTGAGTGTATTTACTGCATGTGTTGCTGCAGTAGGAATATCCATTGTGCGTTAGATTTACTTCATATGGTCGTGGTGAAAAGAAAGTGCAGCCACTCTCAGCTATAAGGCTTCGTGCATCAGGATGTAAAATGAAAACCTCTGAACAGCAAGAAGCCATGACTCCTTTCAGCGTTTCACTCAACTAAACTAAAATGCAGAATCAGTTTGCACAGAAGGAGAGTCGTGGCAGTCAGCTGTTGCTGATTATAGATAGGGTGTTGACTTACTGGTGTACGCACCTCCACCGTGGACGAAAAGTTAGCAACGCTCAGACAAGTCCAGGTTCACACGGCAGGATTTGAAACTTGTCAGACAATTTCCCAAACACAAGACCCCACACACGTAGTGCAGTAAAAAGAATCATGGGTGCGATGGTTGTGGTCGTACAGTGTGCGGTCTGCAGCCGCATGGTAAAAAACTACAAACTAAACACACAAACCCATTTTACACATGAACGTTCCACGGTCAGACAGTATATCTCACTCGATCAAACAAAATAAAGAAACGCGGTGGAGGAGGAGCATGCAGCAGGATCCCGCTGCTTCTACCACCTAGCTGTCAGATTGGCTACAGGTCACATTCAACAAGCAGCATGTTTGTTTGTCCAGCATGTTGAATGTCCCAGATTCATGATTAGAGCAGTCCCAACGTGCTTCTGAATGAAAAAGAACACAACACACCACACATGGCAGGTTTATCTGGCAAGATTATCTTTAGAGCCTTTATAACACATATGTCAGACACAAGGCCCGCGGGCCAGATGCGGCCCACGGAGCATTTTTATGTGGCCCGCGAGATAAATATCAAAAATATATTAAAACTGGCCCGCTGGCCGATTTTACCGCAAAGACTACAACTCCCATTTTACCGCAAAGACTACAACTCCCATGCTGCTTTGCAGCGTTAGCGCGGAGCCGACGCGCCCCCTCCTTTGTGTTGTTTTCAGCGCCTGCTGCCGGTGTCTGCAGCTCCGCTGTCTCAGACAAACTAAACATTCCTCTCACTCAGCGCCGAGTTCACTCAGCTATTTTCTGACGTTGAAGCCCAGAAACGGAGATTCTAGCCGCTCAGTAATGTGTTCACGACTGAAAGAGAAAGTTTTCCAACTAACGTCCAGACAGAGCTGATATAACTCCAGCGAGCAGCGACACGCTCAAATCAGCATGACTCTGTGGCTGCTGTGGTTGTGTTTCCTCCCCGACACACAACGACGTGGTCAAGCTGCTCAGACATGTTCAGCAGCACAAACCTATGTGAGCACCTGTTGTCATCTAACGTTGTCATTATTATGATAAAGATAAACAAAACAACAGGAGTCTCCTCCTCAGCTCAGATAAGCCCCATGATGCAGGTATCTGGCTGGAACAGGTGAGCATCACAGTAAACCAGTGGAGCAAACTGAGCTTTAAATATGTTGGTTTTATGCTCTTTTTCTGCTCCAAAATATGAAAGTTAACAGGTGAGATGTTGCATTTTCATTTAAGATAAAATGATATTTTTATGTTGTTGTTGGCCCGTGAGAAAAGATTTAACCTACAGTAAACAGGAAGTGGAAAGGCTGCAGATAGATGAATAGAATAGAAAATCCCTTTATTGTTCCTCAGTGGGGAAAGCTAGACGTCACAGCAGCGATGACACTTATTGCAGAAGAAAAAAAGGAGAATAAAAAATAAGAAAAATGAATAAACAAGAAAACATAAATCCTGAATAGATTTATAAAATGCTGATTATACCACAAGTAATGAATACCACTGATTCCTTTTATTTAAAACTGACTTGCTCGTGTGTCATTTGGTTATTCCACATTCAGTGTTAATGCAGAAATATGTTTGTTTCCAAATTTAAAGGTTCAAAATTGCATATATGTTGACAAAGAAAATGTGCAAATTTGCCGTCACTTTTTCAAAAAATATTAAGTTTGGCCCTCGACTCCGTCCCAGAGTTTCATTTCGGCCCCGTGTGAGTTTGAGTTTGACACCCCTGCTTTATAGTAATCCAGGCATCCTGAAGATTGTCGGAAGTGGAGAATTCACTTCAATTCAAGTTTATTTGTAAAGCGCCAAATCACAAGAGTTGTCTCAAGACCCTTTACACAGTAAACATTCCAGTACAGACACACACACACACACACACACAACATATATACCAAGCATAGTTAAACCTAACTTATACTTCTCCGTGAGTTCCACGAGGGAGAGGACACAGACGTTTTTCTTCGTCCCTTGGGGAGTGTTGCAAAGCGATTCCCCGCCAGGACAATAGAGAGCGTAGCGCTTTTCTGTGTCATCCTTTCATGTATCTGGTCCAAGTTAGTGCATTTACTATTGTGTTTGTGGGTTTTTTGTATTTCAGAGACTTTTTGAAACAAATTTGCCCTTCATTCCCCTCCGCCTCTTCATGCGTTTGCCACCTCTAAACCCACGTTTCCCATCATTTCCATGCATGAATAAAATGCTTGCTGCGCATCTTTTCACTCCTCCAGTCACGGGTGAATAAAACTTTCATATTTTTAGAGCGTTTCCACGAGAGATTCTTCAAGCTGCTCCTTATCTGCCGTTAGATAGCGATTTATGTTTTTGAGGGCACGATGGTGGCTCTGTCGATGACAGCGGCATCCTGACCAATCACAAGCTTGCGTTCTCCATCTTGTTGGACGGATGTTTAGAAAAGAGAGCTTGACGCCGTCTGTCCGAAAAGGACGGATAATGGCGTTGCGTGCGTCCATCCTGATGCAGACGGAGAAGTATAAATTAGGCTTTAGAAACACTACTTGGAGAATCGGGTCAAATATCAGAATAATGATCTTCCTGTGTGAACTGGCCCTTACTCTGAGAGGCTGTTAAGGTAACAAATAAAAAACAAACTGTGCACTTTGTTTGGAGGTTTGCAGAAGAACGCATCAAATCCCTAAAAGGTCTCAGCAGATGGATAAAAACATTCTTGTTTCTGTTAGCAACTCCAGAACCTCTGGATGGGTTTCAGCAACAAGTTTAACCCAATTCAAGATGGCTGTTACAGCCAGTCAACTGTAGCAAATGCAAAACTTAGCTAATTTGACAGAAATAGTCAAATCTTTGTCTAATAGCTGAGAGTCAGACTAGTTTTCGTGATTCCATCCTGAGCTGCGAAACCTTTGAACTGAAGAGTGTTTACTGTTCTCTGTCTGTGTCCATGCTTGTGACGTTTTCTCTTGCTGACTAACCAGTGTTTTGTTTTGCACCTAACTTGCATGCCCCTGTCAGCAGAGGTGGAGCCGAAAGCGAAGTCCTGGGGTAAGGCATGGTGGAGGGAAGACACTGGACAGACCTTAGATAGCTGTGATTCTGACTGAATGTCTGCCAGATTTAGAGAAGAGACTTCATTTGCATCAGTGATGAGTTTCTTCTTGTTTGGCTGCTTGCTGTACATGTTGTTGTGTGTCGTGCATGAATGACTCCAGACAGGAAGTTTAGGTTGATCCTCGGTCAGCATGAGCGTCAGGAGGAAGCTGGTGTGCTTTGACCAGATGTGCATGGATAGAGAGCGTGCAGTGAAGTGTGTTAATGTGACCTGTGCATGTGTCAGGGCTCAGGTATTCTGTGGTTCTACCTGAAAGCACGGTTCTGTCTGCTCGCAGCTCTTTGAACGGGTTTGCTCGTAGATTTTGAGTGAAGTGTGTTATAAATAAATGTAGTTCAGCGTTATTTGTTGTGTTTTTATCCTGGTTCTCCCCTTTCATATTTGTTCCTGAACCATCTTTGCAGGCAGGGACAGTTCCAGTCTCTCGGCTGTTAGACTCCCTAAAGAAGAGCCAGCTCTGGACGTCTGTGGTGACGGTGACTCTGGTCGAAGGTCGGGACCTGCCAGCAGATTCCCAGACTGGGTCCTTCTACATTTGCTTCAAACTGGGGGAGCAGCAATATAAAAGCAAGGTGGAAATGAAACATCAATGGTTTTATCTCTTCCATTCCTCTCCTTCTCTTTATTTGTTCTTGCCCCTAAAATGTTGTATGTCTTTTTATAGTTCCTTCTGCTTTAAAATGTCTTTCTTTTAAAAATCTTTTTTAACCCACTTCCCTTAAAGGCTCCTGCATTTATTATTGTATTATTATTTATGGTCATTTCAAAGTAACATTACAGAAAGTGAATAATTAGCAGTTATAGATAGTATCACACAACCTCAGTTTGCATCCTTTAGGACTGATGAGCTAATGGCTAGGACTAAAGTCCACTCTGATGGTCTTCATTACAAAGTTTTCCATTTAACACAATTCCACAGTTTATTGCGTCATTTATATAACATTTAGTTTGATAATAGCCACAGTTACTAGTGTGTTTAATTTTTGGCATCAACAATGTTTTTGTTCTGAGTCTTCATGAGATGAAATGATAAAACGTCTCCTCTAACCAATGAACAGAAGCGAGATTGATTTTTAATGTGTGACATGTGAAATTGTTTACATTTGACCTTCTGTCTGAATCAGAGTCATTGCAAAGTGCCCAATCCTCAGTGGAGAGAGAGGTTCACCCTCAAACAGTTCGTTAACCAGGCGCACATCGTGGAGGTGGAGCTCTGGTCCAAAGATGGACGTAGGACGGAGGAACGCTTGGGAGCGTAAGTCTCTGTTCTTCTGCTGTTGATCTTAGGGTTTGATTATGAGCTTTTCCATCAGTCTGGTCCACATGAGTCCAGGACGCAGCAGAGCGCTGCCCCGCCCCCTCCCAGGTTCCTTAAAGGCAACCTTGTGTACAAAATGTATGTACACCACAAACTGATAAAGCCGCATTCAACAACAGGTGAGGATTTTAAACATGCAACTCTGAAGCAGGTCAAAGAAAACATCCGGGAGTCCAGATTTCCTGGAAAAACAGACAAAATGTCAAACTCCTGAAATAAAATAGTTACTAACAACAGAAAAGAAGAAAAACAGTGTTCAGGGTTACAATTTCTGAGGTGCAGTGAATGCATCATATAAAGATGTCCATGGCGAGGTTGGGAGTGGGGGGAAAATAAAAGTGTGTGTGTGTGTGTTTGTGTTTTGTGTGTGTGTGTGTGTGTGTGTGCGCGTGCAGGTGTGATGTGGACCTGTCTAAGTTCTCTCTCAACAAGAGGCAGCTGTTCACGTTGAACCTTTCTCCGCTCAGAGGAACTTTGGTCTTCCTCATGAAAACGAGCCCCTGCAGCGGCGTCTCCATCTCTGACCTCGGCGCCGCGCCGCTCAGTGAACCTCAGGAACGACGGTACCAGCTGGAAAAATACGTGAGTATCTGAGCTGCGCTCTTGTGTTTGCATCACGTCTACATCCACCGGGACTTTCTGCAGACCACCTTATTCACACAGACCTCCTCGGCTGTCAGAATAATCACTTTTTCTGAATTTTGTAGACAACTGAATTCTAACCGATTATAAATGTGTTGGTGTTCATTCCAGGTTTGTAGTTGCAGAGGTAGTAGTGTTGCTCCCTTGGATGTGCCGTGTACTTGTCAAGTGGTCAGGGAAAGCTCTGATAAAAGCAGCAGTGTGTTTATTACAGCCTCCAACAAGTTCATTGCTAACATATGATTCAGTTCAGGGTGGGTAGAAGACACATATCTACTCTTAAACAGGTCAAGTCCCCCAAATAAAGTAAAACTGTTAGTTTAAATCAGATAGCTCATCCCTGGGCAGATGTAACCTGTTGTTTGCGGACAGGCCTGTAGGTGGCAGTGTCTGCCTGCCTATACTGTCTGGTGTTCAGAGACCAGCTGTAAATGCTGTTTTGGAGACAGCGTCTCTTTACAGTTGACCTTAAATACTGTTATGAAAAGCTTTCAGATATAGTCTTACACTGGTTTGTGGCATTTCTCGGACTTCTAACCAGAAGAGTATTCATTTACTTGACACGACTTGAGTCCGGAGGTAAATCTGTGACAGGAGGTGCTCATTTAAAGATGTCAGCAGATTTGTGTTGCTGCATCTGTACAGATGTTGTGATGGTTCAGTGCATCTGAGACGAAAAGCTGAAGGATATTTAGCGTAAGAACTATGAGCTTCTTATTGCTTTGGATAAAACACCCAGGTACTTGTTAATAATAATAACAGCAGGTGCTTATGAAGTAATTCTCTTCGTATGAAGCTTCCTGACCGGAGCTGACAGAAGACAGAACATACCCATCCCTAAATCCGTTCAGTTCAGGGTCAACTTTAAAATTCTGCTATTTGGATTCGAATCGTCGGCCACTCTGGCTCCTCCCAGTCAGGGTGCGCTGCTCCGTCTCTACCGCCCCCCTCGGGCTCTCAGGTCTGCAGATCAGCTCTTTCTCACCGTCCCTAAATCCCAAGGGAAAAGGGCTTTTTCTAATTGTGCCCCAAAGCTCTGGAACTCACTACCCCTCCAGGTTAGGCTCATTATCGCCGTTTTTAAATCACGACTAAAAATGCACTATTTCTCCATGGCCTTTAACGTCATAAACTTGGCTTCAGCATTAAGCCACATTTTGCCTTCCTACCTTGCATCTTGGATGTGTGATTTTTAATGTGCACTAGTGTCATGTGGTTTCGCCTTGTTTGATCTGTTTTAGCTGCTTGTTTTTTATGGTGTGGTTGTATGTCACCCATGATCAACACTCATCCTGGGATTTTGCCTTCCCAGAGTCTGAAAAGTTCCCTGAGCAACATCCATGACATCGGTTTCCTTCAAGTCAAAGTTCTCCGGGCTACAGATCTGCTGGCTGCTGATTTAAACGGTATTTCACTCCTTTAGGCGTTATTTCATTCTCTTCATGCCGGGAGTAGCCTCCAGAACTTGTGTTTTGATGTGTTTTTAGGCAAGAGTGACCCTTTCTGCGTGTTGGAATTGGGCAACGACAGGTTGCAGACCCAAACCATCAATAAGAACCTCAACCCAGAGTGGAACCAAGTCTTCACCTTGTTAGTTTCTGCTTTCTGTCCCTTCAGCTCAGTAGCACTCAACAGCCTTGTCTTTGTGTGGCAGAGTGAGGCTTTGATTTGGTTTGTTGGTGTCTGACCTTCTTGTTTGCCTCTGCAGCCCTGTCAAAGACATTCATGACGTTCTGATGGTGACCATCTTTGATGACGATGGAGACAAGGCACCAGACTTTCTAGGGAAAGTTGCCATCCCCCTGCTCTCGGTACGCACTGACACGCTTGCCCTGCCCCTGATGCAGACAGTCCACTAATCTGTTTACACTCTGGTTTTAGATGAAAGTGAAGTGGGTGATAACACTTGGACAGGTTGAAGACTCGCTAAGATGTAATCCAGTGTGACTGATGGTCGAGTCCGTGGCTAAGTTCAGCACCTGATGCCCTTTCTGTCCCACAGATCCGCGGGGGACAGCAGACGACCCACCTGCTGAAGAAGAAGGACCTAGGTCGGCTGCTGAAGGGGAGCATCACTCTGGAGCTGGAGGTTATTTTTAACCCGGTGAGTAAAGGTTCGCGCTGCTGGAGGGACAAGAGGAGATTCTGCCTGGTTCTGTTGAGTTCTCATGTTCTTTGTCGATAGGTCAAAGCCAGTATAAGAACCTTCCAGCCAAAGGAGAGAGTGTTCATGGAGGATAACTCCAAATTTTCCAAAAAGGTTGGAGACGACTTTTATAAAAGCTTTTTGTTTTTTTCTATGTGCAGGTCTGTGAAAAAGTATTTGCCCCTGAAAGATTGGTTCTGTTTTTTCTCTTCTTCTTTTTTCTACATTTAAACATTTCAAATCAGCAGACGGATTTAGATTTATTAAGAGAACAACAGGATGCAAACAGCCGCTAACTCTTGTTCAGCCCTAAAGTACCAGAACACCTGAACATAGCACACCCAAACAAAATTAGCTGCTGTACTTGGATTAAACACCAAAACTAGGTAAAACTCTGTATTTTTGTCCTCCGCAGTCAGACTACCATAACTAGTTTGTAGTTATCGAAGCTGGAACTGTCTTTTTTTCTGTTTCCCCTCCCTGTAGAGTCTGTAGAATAAAAGCTACCTGTTCAGCCCTGATAACGATAGCTTCAATCTGTTGTGGACATGAAGTTTGCTGGAAGAACTTAAACAACAAACCCAGAGAAACATCTAAAGCTCTGCAGGGCTCACCCGGGTCAGATTTAGGTCAAAGGGACCGCTCGCTCTGCAGGAGAACCTTTGACCTTAAACAGGCCGGAAAACCCTCCCGTGTGGCAGAATTATAACGGTTCTGTAAAGAAAAGTGGGACAAAACTTCTTCACAGCAATGCGAGTCTCATCTCCATAAACACCCTGGGTTGGAGCATAAGGCTTTAACAGTTCAGTAATATAGAGATGAGCTTGACCATGTAGAGCTTTGAAAGTTATAGTCAGGATTCTAAAATGAACTCTAAACTTAACGGGTAACCAGTGCAGAGACATCAGAATAGGAGTGGTGTGTCCTCTTCTGTTTGCTCCAGTTAGGAGCCTCGCTGCAGAGTTCTGGACCAACTGAAGGAGGTCAAAGGCTTTTTTGTTAAAACGTGAAGAGTGTGTTACAGTCATCTAGACGGGAGGAGATAAAGGTATGGATAACTGTTTCATGTTCATGTTTTGACACCAACCTTCGCAGTTTGGAGACATTTCTTAAGTGATAAAAATAGTTTCGGACCAATGTTTTTGAGTGACCTTCAAGAGACATCGATTGGTCAAAAATAACACCCAAATTTCTTAAGTTTGTCTTGACGGCAGAGGATAAATGACCAAGTTTTAGACTAATCAGGGGAACCATGCTCTCAGGGGCAATGATCAGACATTCAGTCTGTTCAGAGTTTAACTGAAGGAAGTTATCTTCTAGCCAGCTGGTGATAGCTGATAGACACTCTAGTAATTCAGACAGTTTACAGAACTCAGAATCCTTAAAGGAGCAGTACAGCTGAATATCATCTGCATATAGGTGATAAGAGACATTATGAAAAGAATCAAGTATCTGTCCAAGAGGGTGTATGTACAGCAGAAACAACAGTGGACCCAAAACAGAGCCTTGGGGTACCCCACAGAACAGATCAGTAGAATATGACATGATTTGGTTTATACAGACACTGTAACTTCTGTTAGAAAGGTACGATCTAAACCAGTCTAGAACAGTTCCAGAGATCCCCACCGAGTCACCAAGTCTGTTAATTAAGGTGCCGTGATCAACGGTGTCAAAGGCAGCAGAAAGATCTAACAATACTAACACTGTGAACTCCTCGTTGTCTGCAGCCATCATGATGTCACTGGGAGCAACTTGAGACAAATCATCTCAGTGTTCTCCTGTTTTTCCTAACTGACTATTAAATGAAGGTTTTCCCTGAAATGACTGATCTGAGCTCTAATTGAGTCCAACTGTGAGTGAATTCTTGCAGACTATTCTGCTGCATTAGTTTGATTTCCCCGAGTAAGACAGGGTGTGAGACAGGGTGCCTGACTGTCTGTACTCCCCACAAAGACTCATTGTTATCAGACAATACTTTGCTCACTAACTACAAAATTGGCTTACACACCGACGACATGCACGTTTTCTGTCTGTTGGACAAAATCAGGTCAGATTACGACCTTACGATTTTCTAGCTTCCTGAAAACGACTCATGCTGAATGATACCAGCCGCTCTCGCTGTTTCTTCTCCTGCTTTCTGTTTATTCCACCACAGCACAAACCCAGATTTTACAATCATTCCTGCTGAATTCACGTTTGTTTCTGTGTGTTTCAGACGATGGCCAGGAACGTGGCCCGTGTTCGTGCAATTTACGGAGCCATCATGTCGAATCTACAGTACATCAAAAGCTGCTTCCAGTGGGAGAGTGTTCAGAGGAGCCTGCTAGCCTTCCTGGTGAAGTGCTTTAAACTGCTTATCAGCAAACTATCTCTGCATTCCCCCGTTCTCCTCCAGATCTGCAGCATGGACAACCCCTGCTTGAACTCTCCCAGAGACTGTCCTAATCAATGCAGCGTCGGGCTCAGCAGAACTGCGGGCTCGGCCCAGGCTCTTTGTTGGACTGGATGCTTTCAGTGTCGCATGTCTATTGGATGCAGAGTTAAGCCTCAGCTGGAGAGAGCCGAGTCCCGGTGGAGTTGAGAAGGCCTATATTTGTCCAACTTCCCTGAAAACGCATTAACCCCAAGTCCATTCTGTCCGCCGTTATAATTGGACCTCATTATTCAGACGAAATTTCTATTAAAAAGCTTGTTTGTGATGGAGCTGATTCACCATCCTTTCACCACGACACAAGTTAGAGACACAAACTGGATGTGGCCTTTCAGCCCTTAAAGGGAAGAGAGTGCGCAGATCTTTTTGTCATCACACTCCAGCAGATCAGGCTCCATTAAAACGGCATACCGCAGGTTGTTTATTAACTATTCAGTCAGTCAAGGTCATAGAAAGTTCCTTTTGTTTTTGCAGCCCTCGTCCTGCAGGTGGCGCTGAGGGCGTGCGCTCCACTCACGGATTTTCCTTCCAGGCTTTCCTGCTGGCCGCTATCACAGCCTGCTGTTTCCTGTGAAGAACATTAGCATTAGAGATGCTGCTGTCTGATTTGAGTCACGCATTTAGTTCTATAATAACATAAACTGCATCAAACAGGAAGAGGTCAGAGGTCAGGGTGTGCTTTGTTCAGCCTTATTCCTCTTTCCAGTGAAACATTTAAGCTGTATTAAAACACAAAATAGTTTATAGAATAATACTCGGGTCCTCTGATCATGTTCACCTGGCAGCTCAGATGTGAACACTAAAATAGGAATCATACGAACACACTCCTCCGACGATGAGACGGGACCATCTGCACTCGTGTTTTCACACTAGGCCCGCTGCCTTTCCAAGCCTCAGTGAGGGGGGGGGGGGGGGGGGGGGGTGGGATGTCCGCTCAGTAAACCACGCAGCCATAATGAGTCAAAGCTTCACTTTCTGTGACAGGAAATGGTGACGAACCACCTGCACCATCTGCCGGCTGTCACGCCGCAGGTCTGCTTTGTCAAGATACCAGTGAGGAGCGTCTGTTCGGCCACTTTCAGTTTTCACTCATAATGATAATAATTTACCCCAATCAGAAGAGACTTCATCCTTTTTCCCTCGTTGCTCACCCCACGCAGAAGCGGCGGAAGACTCTTTGCTTACGAAGACGCTCTGTGTCCATAGAGCTGTTTGTTCTGTCTCCTTCCCCAAACACCACGTCCAATAATTCAGCTCGTCTTCCTGACCCCTGAGCAACATCAGCACAACGGAGCAGTCCTCATGAAGTTATTAAAACAGAGTGAAACGTTATGCTTCTTCCGAAATGAGAGACTCCTCATGCAGGACATCCGTCCAACCACAGACGGCGTGTGGAATGATGGGAATATCACGAAAGAGTCAATCTGCAAAAGAGTGATCCTTTAAGTTTGTTAAAATCAGAAATTAAAAATACTTAAGAATAGAGGAAAAGAAAAAAACTAATGTAGAACTTTTTTTTACATGCTTTTATTGCTCTATTGTTCTTTGTTTTGGTCAAATAAATGAATCTTTCTCACACACACACACACACACACACACACACACACACACACCTCCGAGAGGAATATTTAAACAGCTAATAATATAACCAATGAACCATTAATTAAAAATAAGCGTTTTTATGGGCTAGACAAAGCGACTGAATAAAAAGTCTAGAGAATACTTTTAGGATACTGATCACATTTTAATTGGCCTCCATTATGAGAGTCACACAGCTACCATTAAGGCTGTGCTATGGTTATTGATGCAACAAGATTGATTACGGTTCTGTTAAAAGGTCTAAAACAGAAAACCCAAATGAATCCAGCCTTCTGCTGGAGGCTAACACGGCTGGCATGTTCAGTAGCTGGGTTCTGCTGCTGCAGCTTTTGGCCTCGAGGGTCTGAGGAGATTTCTGAGACATGCAACCCTTCCTCCGAACATCGGTGGTTAAATCCTGAAGCTTTCTGCTATTCCCTCCGTTCAGTAGCTCCCCCGTCTTTTTGTAGCCTTTCCCATTTCCCCCGAACTTCTCTGTGTGCACTCCCAAAGCCCCTCTCTGCTGCTGAGGGTTAATGCCTCTCAAGTTTAAATGAGCCACAATTATCACAATTTTTATGGACTGAGTGTGGATTTCCACCAAAGCGTGACCCGGTTTCCCCCACCAGGCTCCGTTCTCACAAACTACGGACTAATAAAACGTAACCCTGCCGGGCTCTGTTCTGGCTTATGATAACACACACTAGCACATTAGAGCTGATGGTGGGCGGGAGCGGTCTGATCTGATGTCTTTTATGTCCGCTGGTGCCTCAGAGGAGAGTGATGTCTTTACCAGATGTCTGCCTCTGTTGTTATTAGCTACAAAAACACTGTAAACCTCTTCCAAAGCCGTTTGGCTCGCTGCTGCGTCGGCCCGTGCCGCCTCTCTGACCGGATTATTTTATAGTTCTATTCAGATGTTAAACTGCCACGGCGCTCTGTCACCGTTTCTGTTTTAGCTGATCCAGAAACAGCTGGAATCCACATTTTATGTGACTTCTGATGGCCAGTGACATCGCCACACAGCTGGCTTTAATGTGAGCACGACGAAACGAAACTATGAAGCTTATGTCAGACTTTTATCCTGCCATTGCTGCTGTGGAGCCTAATCAGCACCGCACGTGTTTTAATGTTTCATATTTGATTCAAGATGAAACTGAAAGTCTGGTTTTGACCTTGAAGGTCAAAAAATATATTTTCAAAATAAAACCAAGTAAAGTTAAAATAGAATTTAGACATTTTTTGTTTTATAAATTCTTTACTTTGTCTGCCGAGTTTTCACTTTAGTCCTCAGGTCAAGTCAGAGAAAAAAAAATCCTATTAATAATAATAATAATAATAATAATAATAATAAACTAACTCTGAAACTATATACCAGAAACAGATTAAATTTATTTCATATTTTTAATACAATTATTAATAAAAATTTATAATGAAAATACATTAAAAAAACAATCAAGCTAAAATCTAAGACAAACATTATCTCCTCTTTCTAGTTTGAATAAATTTCACAGTAATTTTTTAAAATTGTTTTTAAATGATCCAACATGGTGGCGCTGATTGATCTCCATACACCCATGTGACCGATGCCTGAACTCTGCCTGCAGGTTTTCGTTGTCACCGTGTGGCACTGGGAGTTCTACATGCTGCCCTGTTTCCTGGCTCTGCTCATCAGCTGGAACTACTTTCAGATCCGTTTTCGACGCGTCAGCCACGAGGTGGTGAGTCCAGATCTCCATCAGCCACCCGACAACTTCCCTTTATCCTCATTATTATGTTTCAGAAAAGAAAGCAGCCACCAAAACCTCGTCTGTTCATAATTAGAGGCTGGCACGTTACCATAGCAACCAGTTGCGCACGGCTTTATAGTATATGATAATAAAATAACGCACAATATGAAGGCAAAGAAAACTCAGTGAATAGGTTAATGCAGGATCATTAGAGTCTGAGCTGATTTCATCGGCTTGTTCTTTATCAGCTCCTCGCCATCGGCGTAATTGGCCGTCCGCTGCTCACTTCGTGTTTTGATGAGTCGAATTAGGTGAGAAAGTGTTTAGCGTCTCTTTAGGAAGCTCATGATGTGCACGCTGCTTCCCTGATGTGAGTAGTTTCTGTAGCTCTCAGGCTCCGCACTAAAGCACTGATCTGACAATACAAATTATTATGCCTAGAAATCACTAAAACACCTTCCGCTCACTAATAAGTAGCTGAACAAATAGGATTTTACAGATTATAGGTTTGAAAATGGCGAAGAAACATCAGTAAGTTTAATATCCTGTTCTACAGAAAACTTTAGTTATAACTCAGTTATAACGCAGTTTGTTAATAAAACAACTCGCTGATTAAAAGTAGGAAAATTAACTGTGTTTACAAAAATGAGTATTATCTTTTTAAATGAAACAGCTGTTGTTAGTGGCTCTGACCAGACATGTGGACATAAATCTGATTTGTACAGAGGACATGGTGTGTGCTCTTTAAGGCGACTTCTGTTCTTTGACTCTGTCGTCCTCACTCTACCTGCTCCAACATGTTTTGCCAGACTTCATGTTGAATTACCTTCAGAATGATTTTTCTAATTCTCTGCATTGATTCATCTGACAGCTCACTGAGGGCTCATGTTTCCTGTCCATCGTCCAGGAGCAGCCTCCACGTTTCTCTCAGAATACGTAGTATATGTAGTTTATATTTTAGCATATTTATGATTATTTGATTTTTCTTTTGGATATTCTCTGCAACACACACACACACACACACACACACACACACACACACACACACACACACACACACAGCAATCCATGCTTCCATTCTACACTTTATTTATGCAGAGCCCTTAAGTAGGAAACCATGCTGTTGTTTACTTTTCCATCATTAAAGAATATACGATGAGCACACGTGTCTGTGGATCTGATGCACAGGATCCTAACCAATCACTGTTGGAGATGGATAAACATCTATTACTGTCTGATTACGTCAGGTTTTTATAGCAGGTGGTAAATAAACTGTCTCCCTACACTGTGATCCTCTATAGCTACTCACATTTACTTGTTTCACTAACTTTTGTATTTATGGGATGTAAAATAACTCCCAGGGCTGCATGGTGCCACAGCTGGTACCACTTATATGTATATAATCTATTAAAACAGACTCGACAACAGGCAGGACAAACTAGACGAGATGAAAAACCATTTACACTAAGATGAGCTTCGATTAGAGCAGAGTTATCAGCTTCTGATATCGTAGTGTTTCACATTAACTTTTGTTATTTGTGTATATTTTCACTTTTTTTTACAATAAATAATTTTTAAAAATGAGGAAATTATTAAACTCCTTCAACTTGTTCTAGATGTTTGATTTATTGTAAATATCCGATAGAGCAGCTGTTGTATTAGGAGGTGTACCCTGGTCTGCTGAGGAGCTGCAGTGGTCATCTGTCCTGCAGGAGGCTAATCTCTGGGTCAGCCCTCTGCTCTTTACTGCTGCTGATCCCAAAAACCCTCCAGCCTCACCTCTCTGCTACTGTTTCCTCTGGTTTCAGAGCAGCATGGATTTGGCGGATGATGAAGAGGATGATGAGAAGGTACGTACCTCTGAGTGGTTTATTTTTAGTTGCTCTGCTGATGAACACAGAAGATTTATCTCCGTTTCTCCATGTTGACAGAGGTATATCTGCCTGTGATCTATTGGTGTGTCACTAAGCTCTTTACTCAACACTAAATCTTCACTTATTTTGAGTCCTACAACCACCAGTTGTAGTCTTTTTATTCCAACGTGTGCTAACCAGGGGACATTTGGGCTTAATGAAGACCTCTCCAACGTGCTTCCACTTGTCCCATCGCATTCATATGTAAATGGTGGGGTGTGGAAAAGGTCCTGGTGCATTTGGGAAAGTCCCGAGCTTAACACTCTACATAATACATCAATATGGAACTAATGACGGCACTTAGACATGCTGCTGCTTGGAAGTTTGTGTTCAGATGCTTTTAGGAGGAGGAATATTTCTCCAGAGTGACAGCAGTTTATTGTAGAGGCTGTGAATGGCTGTGTGGGTCTGATTCAGACTGGTTCTCATGCTGGATCCAGTGGGAATGTGACCCTTAAGTGTTTCAGATGGGTTTTAATGAAGGTGAAATGTGTTTTGCATGTGGGTTCTGAGACAGTGCATGTGGAAAACCCGTCCAGGCTCACCAGCGTCTTTACAGATTGTCTCTTTACACCCATATTTCTGTTAGACCATGCTTGTTGTGGACTTGTCCTCCGTCCACCGGTCTGCTGAGAACCAGGACCCTCCAGGAGACACTGCTTCATCTCTATCACAACACCACACCATCAGGACAAACCAGTAGACACCGGGCTAAACCTGCTCTGACAAAATGTGGAATCTTTCAAATTTTATCTGCTTACATAAAGCATAGTGTAATGTTTCTGAAGCTATTATTGTCCAGCTCTGCAAGGCGTTAAAAACAGTGTTTTATCTGCTGAGTTTACGAATGAGGGGAGAAGGGAACGTGTTGTTGTTGCTTTGATTAAAATAATTATTCTCTGCATGTTTTAGCTCTTAATATCTGGAGGGGAAATTATTTTTACAGGCTGTAAAACAGGAAAAAGGCCTCCCAGCGGATTGATATGTAGGACTCAACAATATAATCGTATAGTATGCAATTTTGTTCTTACTGCTTCTTCCAGAAATCATAAACAATATTTTTAAACATCGTTACTTCCTAGAAAAACTCAACAGATGAAAAAAAGATGTGATGGGACTTCAGAAATGAGGATAACCCTGGAAAACGCTGGATCAGCATTCGCTCATTTTTCTATTTTATTTATACGACCAATTAGGGCTGGACAATAATTCAGTAATGATATAAATCCATCGATAGACATGTGGTGCAATAGAAAGAAAATGGGTCAATAAAACAAGTTTCCCCTTTCTTTATATTTCATTATAATATCAGGTATCTTAATACTGGACTCCCAACCAATCAGCAACACAGATCCATCTCAAACCTAAACAGAGAGCACCTGGCTTCAACAAGATGCCACAGCAAGAAGGAAATTCTCCCAAAATAATATTTTGGTTTTTACAAGTCAGACAAAAAAACTGTTGTTTGCTAAAATTGTTATGGGAGCTGAATCCACTTGTTCAGTTATCATAGCTGCACATTTGGTTACTTTTATTATCGGCTGATATTAAAGTATAATATAGGAAAAATTCGGCATCGGTATTTACTCTTTTAGTTACCCAACCTTTGCGTATCATACACATATTACCCATCAAACTCTTCGGCTCCATCTCGCCTCTCTAAAAATGCCAAAATATGACAGCTCTGTGTAAAGGATTTGCTGTTCTTACAGCACGTAGCTGTGTGGAGCTAGCAGCTAGCATACAACTAAGCTCAAGCTAAAGAATCATCACCCAGGGCTTCCTTTTCTTAAATGAAAATATTTATAAAAGTTTTATTACCGTAACTACAATGTACAGAAACGGAAAAAATACATTACTGAGTAAAATACATCAGCGAAGCATTTGGCAATTAGCCTAGCTTAGCATTTGTACACTTACGCTGCTAACATTTTTTCAACTGAGTAACATTAACACATGCCCAAACATTCCCTAAACAAATCGCTACTTACAAAGACAAATGTTCTCTCAGGCACGACTGTATCAAACCAAATCAGTGTTCATGATCCGTTTATTCTCTTGTTTTCTCTAATCTTAACGGCAGTGATAGGTCTGAGACTGACTGAGACAAGAGCAAAGACTATTAAAAACAGCAACGTCTCACCTTGGTCCGTTTTCAAAACCTAAAGCATTTTAACCTTTTTATCATAAATGAATGTGTACTAATTGTTAACCCCTTAGATTTCAATGTTTAATGAACACAATGGGGTTTTGTCCCACGGGCCAAATGCTGGAATGCTAAGGTGTTAGCTTATAAATCAAACACATTCCCATCATAAACTTAATAAATATCTGTGGCCTAAAGGCGTCACAGAGCGCTTGTCAGGATTCGCAAGAATCAATCAATCAAAGCTTTATTTATAAAGCGCCTTCCGCAACCCTGTCGGGAAGCCCAAGGCGCTGAACATGGTACATGAGAAAGTTAAATATGGTGAATAAATCGAAAATAAAAGCAATTCAAATATTACAAAAAAAGGTAAAACATTCTAGTAGAAGACAAATGGGTAAAACAAGGGATAGAGTGAACCAATGAAAACAGGGAAATAAAATCAACATAAAAGAGGGCCAAATTCAAACACGTTCAGGAAACGCCAAGCGTAGGAGGTGTGTTTTTAGGTGACTCTTAAAGACTGGCAGAGATGGGGACAGCCTGACTGAGGGTGGCAACTGGTTCCAGAGTGATGGTGCTAGGACTGAGAAAGCCCGGTCCCCGCGAGTACGACACCTAGAACGGGGACAGCGAGCAGGCCTTGGTCAGAGGAGCGCAGAGCACGTGATGGGGAATGTCTGTTCAGGAGTGTGGCCAGATAGGGGGGAGCACCACCCTGGAAGAAATTGTAAACAAAGATGAGGAGCCAGTGCAGGGAGGCCAGAACCGGACTGATGTGGTCCCGTTTCCTGGTCCCAGTCAGGAACCTGGCTGCGCTGTTCTGCACAACCTATAGGCGACGCAGTGATGACTGACACAGGATGTCATTCAGCTGCTCTTGAGGACAAACTGAACATGATATTTTTTCTATTACGAACTTAAAGGAGCATGGGGCAGGATGAAGAAACGAAACTCATTAGCGACGCACTCGGCGCTGTCAGTAACTGTAGCCCAGCACGAGAGCGCGCACAAACTCTTCACTAGAAAAAAAAAAGTTACAGTGATGTACGGCCAGAGCGCGGCTCGAACAAGGCACCGTGTTGAGCGATGAAGTAAGTAACATTGTTACTTTAGTCTAATATTTGTATAATTCCATGACAACATTAGCATTTTAATTTAGCCATGACACTCGTGATGTAAAGCAAGTGCTCCTTCCTATGAAATATTCATAAGCCAGTTTTGTGACTGGCCAGCAAGACAGTAACATGATGCTACTTTATCAGCATAAGGCTTTGTGGCTGCAGGTGATTTCTGATGTTTTTAGACCAATTACAGTTATTATTTTGCACTAAGCTTACTAACAAGCTAATGTTATTGTTTATACATCATGTAGTCACTGACATCATTTGTGAAACCAATTTCATTACAGGACAGGCATCACAACAATGTAAATAAGAACATAAATATCAATGTTTAGTTCAAAAATGCATCAAAATAAAATCATAATATCAACAAGACCTACAGGGTAATACAGTAATTTTTCCATTACTGTCATTGATTTTCAGGAATTCACATTGGAAGGAGTGATGGAAGACAGTTCAGATGGAGTGTGCCCGAGCCTGCCACAGACTTTGATGTGTCGTGGGAAAGTTTGAGACCAGGGGCTAAAGGAAAGGGGAGAGGAAAAGGTCACTCCGAGGGTCGGGGAAGGACACGCTCAAGGGGTGAGGGCAGCAGGTTGAGGTCCAGAGCTCCTTCAAGAGGACCAGGGCGCCGGGGCAGGCAGTGAACAGCTTTCAGAGAAGAGGACCGAGACCGGCTTGCACAGCTGAGAGCTGCCAGTATAGCTGAGATGCAGGTTGGTTGTAGCCATTTGTGTAAAAAAATAAAATAAAATAATAGATGCCAAAAACGAAAACATCACTCACTGGAGATATGAATCTAGTCATGTAAACATATGCTCTTTAATTTCTAGACAGCTTTACAACACCTGAGCCAGGAGGAGAGAGATTATATTCTCAAGAGAGTGGTGACCCGTCTTCCAGGGGTGATGCTGGATATCCTGGAGTTTCGGCAAGAGACGCCAGGACACCGTCTTCCTGACTGAGGGCACCCTAACCCAAAAATCCAAACCGTTTATCTACAACTACAGTAGTTCCAAAACAGCACAATACCTCAAAATAACTTTAGCTGAAGACAGCATTTTCACCCAAAAATAAACAGTTTGTGCAATATATTTATTTTTATTTATGTATAAAAAAACAGTTCTGTTATTTGCATTTGTACATAGTATTTTTTCTTAATTTCTAATAAATCTGTGTGCATGAAATAAGTCATTCCTGTCTTTTGATGCTTCACGTAGCTGGGGCCTTTATGGAGAGAGAACAGCAGCATTAGATCATACATAGATTACATGAGAATGCAATTCTGGAAACTCTCCAGTTCTGAAGTTGACCTGTAAAAAAAAAACAAAAGCTACAACTTTATAGATTATTAGGAATCACACTTTTGATTGCCTTTTCACCCACAACTGTCATTTCTATATGTAAATTGTCAGCTTTGATATTGACACTTTAGCGTTTTTGCTTATGATAATGTTATTAATATACCTAAAGGTCAAATTGGTGACATCCTTCAACCGGCGTCTGTTGAACATGATTCGTTGAAGAGCCTCGTGTGGTGGAGATCATGGTACCATGAGCTCTTTATCACTGGTCGTTGCATCAAGTGGTCCATGGTCACATTTGCCACGGGTCCATTCATGCTTCCCTGTGACATGGTGAAGCACACCCACCCACCCACATGTCCTAACAGAAAAAATAAGTTTTATTTGAAAACTTTGCATGTGACAGAAGCGCTCACCAACAGAAACATGAGAGCTGGCACTATTATGAAAAGAAAGGTAATTATGTCAATGTGCATTGTTGTCCTGTTGTCCAAAAGATGTCACAATACTTACATTAAACATATCACAATGTTGTGCTTTCTGGCAAATGTCCCAAAATTGGTTGAAGATGTCCTTCAGCCACACAAGTAGGATGGAAATTCCCTTTAGGATCCCAGCCTGTGAACAAGGATAAAACAATTCCATCTTTTAGTTCTTTTTGAAACATAGAAGGGTTTTATTTACCTGCAACGTTTTGTTTGCGGCTGCAAACTTCGTCAGCCTGACAAAGTTTTCATAACAGTTCTATTCTGTTATGAAAACAATAAATAAAAGTAGAATTAATATATTGTTATAAGACTTTGGAGTTTAAAAAAGAGTGTAGATAAGAATAGGGCTGGGCAATATGGCCTTAAATCTATATTGCGATATAATCTGAAGCATGTGCAGTAACGATATATATTGCGATATATTTTTTCATCTGTTTATAGATGTCAAATTGACATGCTTTTAGATATCCTCATGTGGCAAATATATGCCACTTGAGGCATATAGGCCTCCTCCTCCGCCCACTCCATGCTTGCAGTCACTGCCATTCTGTTGTCCCAATGTCAGCAGGGTGCACATCTTAGTGACGTCATGTGTTATCACAATATCGCCGTATTGCGATATAGCCAAAAACTATCATTACCCAATTTTATATCATTTCTACCTTATATCGTTTATATTGCCCACCCCTAGATAAGAAGACATTGCAACTCACACACTGTTGAGTAAGTTGTTTGCTTGGTCCTCATCAATTTGGACTGCATCCGTAGCTAGATCCATGGATTTGAAACTACAGACAACACAATAATATTTGTTGTATGTAAAGATAAATACTGGAACTTACCTGAAATGGTACTGATTCTAAAGAGATAAATGTGGAGCCTAATACATCTGTCATTAATTATTTCTGCAAATAACAACAATCTGCTGTGAATTGACAGTTCACAACATAAATAAATATATATAATGACCTATATTTGCCTATCTATTGTGTTTTTATCTTTTTTGCACATAGTACAGCAGTCATTTCCTGCGTATATGGCAAGACTTCTCATGAACAAATTTACCTTTCTTCAAAAGGATCCAAATCTAGGTCATCAGCGCCTCAACACCAGCCATTAGAAAATCTTCCCTGTAAAGATAATGTCAGAAGTGTTTGGTGGTGTGATGTTAGTTCTGAACCAAGTGTGGATATGCAAGGTGTAATTTAATGTATGAAATATCATAGCACAAAAACGTGAATATTTGTTTTACAGAAAAGATACTGACCCCTCAGACACAGGTTCAGTTGGAGATAATCGATGCGACATTTTAGCTGCTGTTCGCTTACTGGGTGTCGAGGTTGCCTTCACATAACCTCCCTGAATTGCAGTTTCAGGAGCCTGCTTCTTCCGGTAGCTGGAAAACACATTTTTAAACTAAAATGTCAACAAGTTGGTTGAGACTCTACACCTTCTGTTTACATAGATCAATAATGGCTAAGCTTCTTTACCAGTGGCACAACTAGTTATATGAAAATGCAGGTCAGTTATAAAAAAATTTATTTATCATTTTCACAAACATATTTTATTCTGACCTACATTCAACTGGACAAATTTAGAAAAATAAACACAAACTTCTGCACAACTTTACTTTTAGTCAAACGTGTTGTTATGGCTGACTTATTTATTCTTATGTAGCACAGCAATAGCGCTAGGGAAATATATTCCGATGGGGTTCTGTTACACAAACCCCACGAATAACATTATCTACTAAAGTAACAGTCCTGCTTAGAGGTTGGACTGTAGATCAAATATGACATAATTCTAAAGACTCATCTTTGGTTTGGAAAATGTCCGTTCTCTTCTACAAACTGAAGCGTGATCGCAGCTAACATGCTAACGCACGCTAGCTCTCTCCGGCTGAGCGGTGACGTCATATAATCAAATCAAGCTCTGTTTACTTTTCTCGTCAGAATAAACGGAGCATCCATTTATCTCCAAACACATGCGGCGTGTCGTCCACAAAACGTAGAAGTGATCCGGTTACTCCTTAGTTGCTTTTAGCTTTTTCAAACTGATCAGGAAGCCATATGCTAAACACCGTTAGCTTAGATAAGTTTCTTGTTCATCTGCACAAAGATTTGTTAGATTACCTAAATCAGCATTATCTAAATCCATAAGTTTTATTTTATTTTCTCAAATTGTGCAGATACAGCTCTGATGTTTACCTACTCGTTACTGAAACCTACAGCAGAAATAAGGAGACCAACACTTACCTGGTCACTAGAAAATGCACCATGTCTGCATCCTTTTTCAGGCCCAAATCCAGTTGAAGCAGCCTCCATTCTTCCAGAGCGTAACCAATAGATATTCGGGTCCCTGACCGACTTTTATCATATTTTCTTTTTGACTCTTGAGATGCCGCTGATAAAACCTTCTTCTTTGTGCCACTCTTTAGTGGGCTTTGAGTTGCACTTGGTCGTTTGCTAGTTGTAGAATCCATTTCCAGGGTTCTTCCTCTTCTGTTTGGGGTTTTAACGTGGCTAGTAGTGAAAGACGCGTTACCGCCACCTAGCAAGCTTCCAAATGTTTTTCCGGGTTTGAACCTTGTCGAGAACGCGCTTGAAGCGTCAATTAACGTCATATTCGTAAAACAGCGCGGGAAATTCGGATCAGGAATGTTTTGCATTTTGCAGCACACAGCGTGATTAACAAAATGGAATGATAAACTGGTTTCATCATTCTTTTTAAAATGCTTTATCACCCATAAGCTTCTCAAGAATGAACATGTACTTTTTGTTTTAGGACAATTCCTGCCCCATGCTCCTTTAATTTGAATTAGGTGTCATTTTTCACTGATAATGTTGAAAGCTTAAGCATTCACGATAGGAGATATGTGATATTAGAAACCTAAATTATTAATTTTGTTATTATGGGGACCCAGCATATATCGGTATCGGTTTGTATCGGTATCAGGAATGAAGAGTTAGACCATATTTGATATTGGTAAAAAAGCCAATAACGAGCATCCCTAGTTATATTCTGCCACCCCCCACCCCACCTTCATAATGCTGTTATAGCTATATTAATAATGCCTGCTACCGTCTGTCTACTCAGCATCGTGGGTGAATGAGAGACTCTCCAGCGCCTGAACGGGGTTTACCGTAATAACACTAAGTTAACTTAAAAGAGCAACTTTTATCCAAATAAAAACCATTTGAATTCAATTGATGGCACAAACCTTTGCAGAGTTACAGTAATTCAAACAAGCAAGTGAAAGGTGTCAGAGCAGTATCTTTGTGAGAAAAACACAATCAGGCAGTCCACATTTATGTCTAGGCATCCCACCTTGGTGAATGAATGCAGGTAATGCTGGCTGTTAGTTCAGTGGACTCCCAAGCAGCCTACTGGTGTTCCAGCCCTGCCTGTGGACATCAGATATGACAACTTCATTCTTTTCTTTAAACATTTCATCTTAGATCTAATTAACTAAATTACAACTAATTATGCTCATTTACTCTTCTTCGTCCAGCTTTTTATTTAACTAACTAAACTTTTACCAATAATACTTAACCCTGTTAGTATTTACAGTTCAACTAACGCTGGAAACTGTGAAGCATTTTTGCTAAAAGTCCTGCTAATCTAACAGTTGAACTTTATTCAAGATCGATGTCATCATGTCCGCCACTGACCTTCACATTAAATGTTCTTGTGAAACTGATCACACCTCCGAAACAGGTGTAATTGCATCATCACATCTCTCTCACAAATTAAGTTAGACACACAGAAATGAACACAGACGACATTTTCTTTTGTTTCATTCTCATTTCAGTTGCCAACGTTTAACCAAGAGTTCAGAGCTTTAGGCCTCTTTAGAAATGTTTCATGCAAGTTTTGATTTGTGCTTGAAAATGTCAGGTCTTCAAATCCATCAGATTGTTGTGAAACTCCCAATATGAAACGATTCCAGCTGAAACATCCGGTTTTCACCCGAGTTCAGGGATAGTGAGACGGTTTTCTACTGTTCAGGAATGTTTTCTCCATTCTTCACCTACTGTTTGCTCCTTAATCTTCTAATATATTATGCTAATTTTGACAGTTTAGCATAGTTTCAGCTCTGCTTCAGTTCTGATGCAGCTTCAGCTAGCATTTTCAGCTAACAGCATTCAAACAGCATTTATGCAAAAATGCAATTGATCTAGTTTTTGTCTGCGTCCCTGTCAGGGCTGTTTGAAATTATCTTGGAAATTCACCTTTGTGGATGAAGTCACACTTTAAAAATAGAAAATAGATTTATTTTCTCCTTGGTTTCATTCAGAAATGAGGAGAAAAAACTTTTATTCTTTTCAGAAAATAATTAAGAGAAAATGTTACTTTCCGGTTTATAGTTGTGGCCAAAATGTGACAAACAGAAGCAAAAACTATTAACGAGATTTCAGATTTGTGTTTTTCTCCCAAAGTTGGGACCATTTAAACTGGAAGTTCCTCGTGATGACGATGATGCTTGTTGGTTTTCTCCAGGAGTCGGAGAGGAAGGGACTCATCGATAAAATCCACACGATCCAGGACATAGTCATCACCGTCCAGAACCTGCTGGACGACGTTGCCTGTTTAGGGGAGAGGATTAAAAAGTAGGAGCTACAGGTGTGAGTTTAGCGTGTTTGTATGGACGAGGATTACATTTACCGTTGGTTTTGTGTGTCAGCATCTTCAACTGGTCGGTGCCCTTCCTGTCAGCTCTGGCTCTGCTGATCTTCGTGGCTGCTGCTGTTCTCACGTACTACGGATCGGTTCGCTACATCATCTTATTATGGGGTGAGTCTAACCCTCTGGGATCCTGTCCACTGAGGAGAAAAACAACCCAGAATCAAGTTTAGTTGGAATCTCTTTAAATCCATCAAATCTACCCAACCGCTGGATTGTTTCTCTCCTTTTGAAGCTGGAACATTAAAAAGCCACAGTCCTTGATTAAATACTGTGTTTAGATTCAATGTTGTTGAAAAGTCAAACATGTGCTGAGAGCTCCGTTACCTGGTTGGCGTGAGTCTCTCCTGAGTGTGTGTTTGTGTGTAAACAAGGGGTACATCCACCTGAAGCTCTTCCTAATGATATGTTGGTGTGAATTCTTGTTTTAGGTATCAATAAATTCACCAAGAAGCTGCGGAACCCGTACAGCATCGACAACAATGAGGTGCTTGATTTCCTCTCCAGGGCTCCCTCAGATGTGCAGAAGGTAAGCTCTGCAGGATCAGGCGGTCAGGAAGCCCAAAATCCTGTCGCCCGCCCGCTCTGCCTCCCACCACAACAACTCCCAGGCTCCTCTCTGCTCCTGTCTGTATAATTAGCTCTATCTGTATAATTATGCAACGCTGGGTAATTGTAGTTGTGTTTTGGTTGAGGTACATCCCTGGCGGGGGTCTGGTGTCTCCTGGGAGAGTAGTGGACCTGAAGGTTCTTCTTTCCTCTTTCTATGGCTTCATGTCTGCTTTGTGCCGTGGTCTCACCGGTCTCTCCCTCGAGCTATTGGACCACTTGTCTCCATCCTCGGGTCATTCTGAAGCAGAGGGATGCTCTGGTGTCGTGGTGTGTTCACGAGGCTCATTAGTGAAAGCACTAAGTGGACACGTTGTAGTTTATACTCAGCAACATTGCCTCATGTTGTCATTTGTATTCATGAAGATGTCGAATGGCTTCTCGCTTCCTGCTAATATTTGCCCTCCGGTTCCAGCTGAACTCTCGCTTCACCTTCCAGACTGAATTCATTAAAGAGCGAGGAGATCCTCCAGCTTGGACCTGTGTTCTGTTTCCCCGCAGGTTCAGTACAACGAGCCGAGGAGCAGCAGGAGGAGGAGGGTTCTGTAGAAACGGGATGAAGATGGACCTGGAGCTGCTTAGATCCTCTCAGCCGGACCGGTCCTATCTCAGGACTCGTCCATGTGTGTTTGTCTATTTTATGTACAGTTTTTAGTCATATCAATCAGAGGCTGCTGTATTTAATATTTTTGTCTCATTGAATCGGTGGATTAGACTTCATTTATGAAACATCATTTCTGTAAAATAGCATGACTTTGCTGTTTGGATAATTGTGATGGGCTGTTTTAAATTAGCATCACATTCCTGTATTGTTTACTCGAGAAATCAGACTTGTGTTGTTCCAGACAGAAATGATATGAAGACAAGTGCCTTCCCCTGTCCTCTCTGCATGTGGGTCATCGGGCCTGAGCTGTAAACACTTTATTTATTATTGACGGGAGCTCATGAAGATCTCAGGTCTTTTATTTTCAACGGCAATAAATCTGCACACACTGCTTCTGTGCCTTTGTCTCTGCTGCATCTCCCTGAATCCTGAGCTGTGGTGTCGTGGGCGTCTAAGGCACAGTCTCAGAAACCCCCCCACCCTTTTCATTAGGCTTTCATGAAGCGAAGCTAGGCTATGTGAGACCTCGCTGGCACCCGGCTCCCCGCTGCGCTGATGGCCCTTGGGCGTCGCCATGAGGAGGAGGACCTCGGCGACCTCCTCTCAGCTGCTGTGACGAGCCGCCTGCAGCCAGCATCCTAAACAGCAGCCCGCCTAAGCTCCGGTGCCAGGCGGCGTTGAGCGCAGGAGGAGCACCTCAGAACCAGCCAGCAGCAACAGCAAGCTCACTAAGGGACTGGAGGATTGGTGCTGATCTGCGATTTCTGGTTTTTAAATATGCTTTTAAACAGCCAAACAGATTCTTATTAATTATAAACCTGCTATTTATAGTTTTAAATTGTACAAAACATCCCATAAAAAGCTCCACTTATTTATCTGAATACTTATAAATGTTAGCGTACAGTCTGTCCACCTGGAGGAGGGTGGGTGAGAAGAGGAGTGACCTGTGTGTCTCTCCATCCTGTTGTGATGTTGACTTAGATGTTCAATATTAATAACCTGCTGTCACGGACACTGGAAGGACGTCTCTATCTGTCACTTACAGGCTCCTCATGAATATGTATAGGCAGGGAGACGCGTCAGAATTACCAAGTGAAATTATGGTTCACGCTAATGTGATGTGGCACACGTTTCACCACAAATACAGCTGCTGATTGGTCTCCAAAGGCTTGTTAGGACTTTTAAGATGGAACCGGAGAAGATCTGAGGGGTGAAGTGGTGTAAGCGCTGTGATTTCCCATTAACAAGATCTTTTAACTCATTAATGCCAACATGTTTGTGATCAGTAACATGGTTCTGAGGTCTGATGGCAGAATGGTTCCCAACTTTAAAACATATTCACTTTAGACCATTCAAACAGTTTAAAATCAAATACAAAGTGAAAATAACGAGTTTAGAGAATTTAAAGAGTTCTTTGGTCCCTAAAGGAGAATAAGGAGAAGCTTAACATTTTTCCTTACCCTGTCCTTCAGCATTTTATCCCTCCTTTTTAACAATACAAACAGTTACATCGTAAACAAAATCACAATATATTTTATTTCCCTTCATGCCACACCCTCAATACCTATCCTGTTTCCATTTGTAATCAGTGATTTTCCATTTCTTTTCTTTAGTCATGTTAATTGAATTTACATATTTTCATGTTTCCCTCAATGCCACGGATTGAAACGTGGGACGTACACAAGTTTGTCTCGTGTTATTTTGTATAATCTTTCTCCTTATAAGTTTTGTATGTTTAATGGTAGAAGTAGGTATTTTGCTTTGTAAATTGTATTATATTTTACAATGTCGATGATCTTAAGCAAATTAGATTTCTATAATAGCTTACTGGTATGCTCATAAAATCCTACTTTATCCATTATCCTTATTGCTCTTTAACGGCGGCTTTGTAAGTATATCCCCTCAGCTCACTACAGTAATTGAGGTAGGGCTGAATAAGCGAACAATACTTGTGAAATACTTTGATCTTGAGGAGATATTTAACCGTAGTTAGTAATCCTATACTTATTTTTAGTTTAGCAGTCTGTTACACAGTGAAGTGTAGTGAGGACAAAAGAAACATGATGACTTGGTCAATAGACAAGGAAAACCAATTTTATTTCCTCTGGTCCGAAAAAACAAAATCAGAAAATCCCAGCACTATTCAAAATGGCCACCCATCCAACTCTCTTAGCAGTCTCTGGCTGTGTCCGAATCCAGAGGAAGGATGCTTGTGAGTACAGGTCCTCGCCGTTCTAGCAAGACCGCTAAAACCGGAAGTCAGCGGCTCTGAATTCGGACAGTACTAGCCTCGTTTTTATTCCCGCCCCCAGGTCAAGTTGCCTAGCTACCGTGACGGCGGCAAACAGGCTAACAAGCTAGTAGCGACGTTGAAAATGGATCCACAGCAATATTTCATTTTATTTGTGGTTTTTGAGGAGCTGCGACGGCTCAATAAAAGTCACCGGCCTTTGTATTTAAAGTTTAAAAATCATTTAGTCCTGTTATCTGCTAGAGTTACAAGTATTATACTCATGATCTCCTTTTTTTGCATATATCTGAATGTTAGTGATGTGACAGCCATCGATTGAGCCAGCCCAGCAAACCCTTTTGATGGACGATGCAGTGGTCAGTGAGATGAGGCATCCAGAAGCACCCTCTGCAGACCACTCTGTCTGATGTTCCACTTGCCAACCAGAAACGTTCAGCCACGGATCTCGGTTCCTGCACTCCATCCACCTCGATCCATGTTTAGTAGATTTAGCAACACCACCAAAGACTCCCTGCTTTCCAAGTTTACTGTATATATTTTACTTTTATTCCTTACAGTGTTCCCTTACAATTTATTTACTATGTTGTTACTTGTTAAAAACTGAATAATAAAACTGTTAATGATCAAAAAAGAGTATCAATTAATAGAAATTTTATTACATTTAAACAAATAACAAAAACATTCAAACACATATATAGAACCTGAACCAGAAGAAACTAAAAGAAAAAAACCCATTTCTCTGCCATCCTTTCCATCAATGCTAAAAATCTGTCCATCCTTCTTTCTCTCCTCTCCTCCGCTTCCCTCTGTTGTCTCATGTCCTCCCTGATCAGGTCAAGGAGCTCATCAGCCCTTCTCCTTTTTCTCCCTGATGAGGAGTCCGGCTTCCTTCCACCACTCTCCCTGTCCTCTGTCTCACCCACTGCTGCACTTGGCCCTGGAGTGTCCTCGGGAATGGAAGCAATAAGGACAGGAGGCATAGTGGAAGGCCTCTGTCCCAACACCTCGTCCATGGGGACAAACCAGGGCCAGGTTTCAGCAGTGGGCTTTCCGCTGACTCCCTCTCCTGACCCTGGATACTTGCAGTCCTACAGACAAAGGGAATTAGAATTACAAGGCTTTATTGTCATTTAACAACAGAGAGCACTGGGCATAATGAAATTACAGATGCTCCTTAAAGGTACTGGTTCTGGATGAGAATAGAGAGGAATAGAAGAACAAAGTCAGATTATAAATCATAGTTGATAAAACATGCAATAAACAATATTTTAATTTATCAACATGGGAGATGAAAATTTTGTTCTGTGTTTTTTTCCGCCTAAAATGAAATTAAAAACATTAAATCATTAATGTGGTTTCTTAAAAATTAACTTAAATAAACATTAAACTTAGTTTTCGTTATTTTTGGCGTTCGTTACATGATTACATAAGATTCAAGCTCTTTTACGGTGAGTTTTTTCCTATTAGACTTTCAAGCAAGTTTACGGTGGGGTGTTAATCTTAAAACAAATGATGAGAAGCTTTATTCGCTAAATAAACACACACACACACGGGAATTATGACGGGACCACCATACAAGCTCGTTCTCGCTGATTTCTGCTTAAAATGTACTTATACAAACGACAAATGTCTATAAACAGAACCGCTTTCAGCTTAGTTTTCTACCGCTATTTTCTTTTAAAAAGCCTGCTGGGATCAAGCTAGTTTACGGTGGGTTTTTTCCTATTAAACATTCAAGCTGGTTTTCGGTGGGGCATGTTTTAGCCTTAAATTACATGAAAAAAAAAAAAACAATTTGCGGTATTGGATCTTATATAAAAAACAAACCAAAAGTGCCCAAACACGTATTTTATTTTTTTGACCGCTATTTTTTTAACTAACTTACATTTTAAGCTGTACTGCTGTCCCGCTCCGTCCGCCGTTGTTGCGAGTGTCGAGTCCAGCGGCCGGCGCGCAAAGCATGCTGGGATACCCTTGCTCCTGTGAGGATCCATCAGACCCATCCTCGAAATGTGGGTGGAGCGAGGACGCGAGAATGAGGATTCTTGGAATTCGGACAGTACTCGTCGCTGCGCTTTGACGTCATCGACCTCAAAATGCGCTCTTACAAGCATCCTTCCTCTGGTTTCGGACACACCCTCTGTCACTTTCAGAGAGAAAAAACGACCCTTTGCCACACCCAGCAGTCGACCTATATACTCTCCGACCCCCCTTCCAATTCAGGTCGGCCAATCACATCAGTCCACTCAGGCATTTCCTATATAAAGGCAGCATTAGAGGCGGGCTTCCTCTATAGCTGCTTCAAAATGGCTGCCACAGAGGACACCTCCTGAGGGTAACAAACAAATTCATGTTACATAACAGATTACATTCCTGAATGAACACTCTTTGGTTTAAAGAAGACATGTTGCTTCTCAACATTTACTCACTTTCCCCCCTTTTTTGGTTAACACATCTCAGGCAAACGAGAAAGGTAGTCAGCAATAAGGTTTTTCTTACCTGGACAATGCTGTATGGTAAACTGATATGGCTGGAGGGCCAGGCACCAACGCATTATTCTGGCATTCTGGTGTTGTTTGGACTGCATCCACAACAATGGTCTGTGATCAGTTTGCAGAATAAACTCTCTTCCAAGTAAGTAGTATTTTAAAGAGTCCACAGCCCACTTTATTGCTAGTCCCTCCTTTTCTACTGTGGAGTATCTTTTCTCCCGATCGAACAACTTTTTACTCAGGAACAGAACGGGTTTTTCTTCACCAGCTCTTCCCTGAGCCAGTACCGCTCCAAGGCCAACATTTGAAGCATCCACCTGTACAACAAAGGGCTTGGAGAAGTCAGGACTTTGCAAAACAGGAGCTTGACATATCTGCTTCTTTAAGGACTGAAAAGCAAGTTCACAGTCATCATTCCATCTGACTTTGGAGTTGGACTTTTTTGTCAGCTCTGTTAAAGGGGCTGCCAAAGTTGAGAAATGTGGAATAAATCTCCTATACCACCCAACCAAACCCAAAAATGACCTCACTTGCTTCCTCGTCTTGGGTCTGGGTATTGATTGAATAGCTTTCACCTTCTCAACTTGTGGCTTTATCTGTCCATGTCCAACAAGATAACCTAGGTACTTCACTTCCTTCTGTGCCCAG